TTCCAAATGCACATGGGGAAAACATATTGCGTATCTGAAACAAAAATGCCAGCAAAGAATTAATTTTCTTCGTACAATTACTGGAACTTGGTGGGGAGCACACCCGGAAGATCTGATCAGGTTGTATCGAACAACCATCTTGTCGGTTCTAGAGTACGGTAGCTTCTGCTTTCAATCCGCGGCAAAAACACATATCTTGAAGCTGCAACGGGTTCAATACCGTTGCCTCCGAATCGCGCTTGGCTGTATGCACTCGACGCATACGATGAGCCTCGAAGTACTCGCGGGTGTTCTCCCACTGACAGATCGTTTCGCGGAACTGTCCTTCCGGTTTCTTATCCGTTGTGAAGTAATGAACCCATTGGTAATAGAAAATTTTGAGAAGCTACTCGACAGAAATCCTCAAACAAGATTCATGAGTTTGTACTATGAGTACATGACGCTGGAGGTTGGTCCTTCTTCATTAATCTCCAATCGTGATTGCTTTCAAGCCTACTATAGTTCCTCTGTAAATTTTGATCTGACCATGATGCAAGAAATCCATGGAATACCAGATCACCATCGGTCGATGGTTGTTCCCTCAATTTTCGCAATCAAGTACCACCATGTAAGTAACGATAAAAGATTTTTCACAGATGGGTCAACCATAAATGCTTCCACTGGATTTGGTGTATTTAATCAATTTCATAGCGCCTCTTATAAACTGCAGAAACCATGCTCAGTATACGTTGCGGAACTCGCAGCTATATTTTGCGCAGTAGAGCGAATTGCCTCACTACCTTCTGACCATTATTTCATTTTTACGGATAGTCTTAGCTCATTGAAGGCTATTCGTTCAATGAGGCCGATGAAGCACTCCTCGTATTTCCTGCCTGAAATACGATCTAAACTGAGTGCTTTATCTAACTGCTCCTATACTATCACCTTAGCTTGGGTCCCATCTCATTGCTCAATTCCGGGTAATGAGAAAGCGGACTCATTGGCTAAGGTGGGCGCTATGGAAGGCGATATTTTTGAGCGACAAATCGCCTTCAACGAATTTTTCTCCATTGCTCGTCAGCAAGTCCTCATCAGTTGGCAACAAAAATGGAATGATGGTGAATTGGGAAGATGGTTACATTCTATTCTCCCTCAGGTGTCGAACAAGCCATGGTTCAAAGGGTTGGACATGAGCCGCGACTTTATACGCGTTATATCAAGGCTTATGTCCAATCACTGCTCGTTAGACTCGCATTTCTATCGAATTGGGCTCTCAGGCAGCAATTTATGTGCGTGTGGCAGTGGTTATCACGATATCGAGCACGTTGTTTGGTCATGTACCTTACACCGTGTTGCCAGATCTGAGTTATCCACATCCCTCAGGGCCCGAGGAAAACAACCCGCGATACCCGTTAGAGATGTCTTGGCGAGCCGAGACCTTGACTATTTGAATTTAATTTATGTGTTTTTAAAACGGATAGATTTGAGGATTTAGAAGTTAGTGTCATCTTGTGTTCTCCCAAGTTGTTAGCTACCCATCGGTGTACCCCCATGTTTGTCTTTTTCATCAGAGTGTCGCCTAGTTCGAGATCAAGAGCACATTGCTCTCCAAACCTTGTGTTCACAATCCCTACCCTGCCATCCATTTGTTACAATTTGTTACCCCTAACCTCGAGATAGCCGCGAGTAATCGGCCTCCGCTTTACTAACGTTAGTTTTAAGTAATTTTGTTATTTAAACAATGAATATCGGCTCCGCAAAGCTACAGCAAATGAGCCTGGAAAAATAAACGAATTATAAAAAAAAAAAAAAAACTATTTTAAATAAATTAGCAAAAATCACCATCTTAGCGCCCCTTGGTGGGACTTTGTATGGGAGCGAGCTGTCAACGAATAGATTTAGTATCAACGATCAAAAATTTAAATCTTGATTTAAAAATCGAGATGAATGTCTACGGGATCGATAAATATATCGTTGTGCTCAGAGAACGAAGCTCTATCAGATGATGTATAAAAATCGGTATATTTTTCGAAGTTAAACAACCCAATTGTTTGTTGGGTTACTAATTCCAGCGATAAAATATAACGCTGAAGCTTTCAACACTCGCTCAAATTGAAAGTCACTCGAAGCAAACACAAAATTGCGGGTTTTCAAACTTAGTTTGTCAACAATAAATTACAAATTAGCGGCGCCGGTGGTGTAGTGGTAAGCGTGATTACCTCTCTCCCCAGCAGGCCTGGGTTCAATCCCAGTCGGCGCCGCCGGGATGTTCTGAGGCATAACATCTCTGATCACGCCTAGGCACCTATGGCACCTAAGCACGCGTCGTTCGAAAACTCCCAGTGTTCCTCGAGCATTGTACATTGTCATATTTTTCATGCACAATAATTTTGTTTATTATATATTTGCAGTTCGACAATTAGGTAGAAGACTGGTAGCCCAAAACTTTCCGCATTTGTGGATCATCCCGATCCACGTCCAAAGTGTCATGCATTATTGACAAATTGGCACAGCGGGTCGATTTAAAGGGAGATCTGGAGGCGCTGCGATCTTATTGTCATGATTGTCTGGTAGTTCACTCAAAAATGCTATAACAATCGCCAAGCTCGCTGTAATGTCACCAAGTGCCTCGTCACCCACGAATAGGCGTCTATGTCAGTGGTCTAACAACTCTTAGCGCGCTAATGGCATAGTTCCCCTGCCGCATAGAGAGTTGCCACAATGATATTAGGTTAGCTAAGGTCAGTTAACTGACTGGTGGGAAACGGGAGCTTAAGCAATGGCTATTCTGTATGCATTTAAGAGATAGTCTACCAGAATGGATGATTTTTTTTTTTTGTACTATTTTATGTTTTCTGATGGTTTCGGTTATGCAAAACATGAGAATTAACTTTTCCAATGCTTTCAATTGTACAAAGCATTAGAGCTAGAAACATGATCTTGTAAACACTACACACCTTAACTGGTAGTTTGCTAAAAAAATGCTACAACAATCGTCAAGCTCGCTGTAATGTCACCAAGTGCCTCGTCACCTACAAATTGGCGCCTATGTCAGTGGTCTAATAACTCTTAGCGCGCTAATGGCATAGTTCCCCTGCCGCATAGAGAGTTGCCGCAATTTTTTTTTTTTTTTTTAACTCTTTATTTGTTCCAAATTCAAAATAAATTACATTTCATTTTTAACCTAGGTGCTCCAGTTACTACAGTAACTTACCAGCCTTAATTGTTATGATATATATCTAAGTGTTTTTACATTGTTCCTGTCTTGGCAATTCAGTATTTTAAACTAGAGTTGCCGCAATGATATTTGGTTAGCTAAGGTCAGTTATCTGACTGGTGGGAAACGGGAGCTTCACCATTGACTATTATGTACGCATTTTTATGATGTTATCTAACAACAATGGTGTGTAGTGTTTACACGATCATGTTTCTAATTCTAATGTGTTGTAAATATAATTGAAAGCATTTGAAAAGTAAGATTCTAGTGTTTTGTATATCTGAAAACATTAGTAAACATCTACATTTGAAAACATTCAAACAACGTTTACTTTAAACGTTTTGTACATCTGAAAACATCAGAGAACAACAAACACGAAGTACAATTGAAAACATCCGAACAACGTTTAGTTCTAACGTTGTGTACATCCGAAATCATCCAAAAAACGTTTGGTTCTAGCATCGGGAAACATCTACGTTAGAAAACATCAGAATACATTTACATACAAAAACATCCGAACAACGTATAGTTCTAACGTTTTTTACATCCGAAAACAACCGAAAAACGTTTGATTCTAACATCAGGAAACATCTACATTAGAAAACATCAGAATACATTTACATATAAAAACATCCGAACAACGTTTAGTTCTAACGTTATGTACATCCGAAAACATCCAAAAACGTTTGGTTCTAACATCAGGAAACATCTACATTAGAAAACATCAGAAAACGTTTACATTGAAAAACATCGGAACAACGTTTAGTTCTAACGTTTTTTACATCTGAAAACATCCTTAAAACGTTTGGTTCTAATGTCAATAGATTGAAATTTTTGACGTCAGACCGACATTAGAATGGCAAAATTTTGTTCCAAAATGTCTGATGTATACACCATGTTACGTTGCTTAAATACAACTAAATCATAATGTTTTCTAATGTAAGGGAAGTAAAGCCGTTGGTCCCCGGTTCATGAGTTGATGGGTCGATAGGTAGGGTCCAGGTGTGGGAGCTGCCTTCCTGGCGTCGGTAGCATTGGTGACCAGCACGGAAAACAAGATCGACGGAAAACAAACCAAAGGAAAAAAAATAATTACAAATTACTTAGTAGGCCGTGCAACCAGATTTAGTTTTACCATAGAGGTAACTCTAAGACTAGTTACCTACTGTAGGTCCCGAAGAAACGTGCTCCAGAATATGTAAAAAAAATAAAAGAAAAAGCAAAGATTGGATTCACTTAGTCTATTGGTACTACTAGACTAAGTAAAATTTTCGTCAATTTTCCGGCAGATTTTTGAGGTTTTCCCAAGACAACTCGTTCTCAATCGTCGTCTTGCAAATTTCTTCGCTAAAAATGTATACGCTGGCCATATTCGGAAACAAATAAAGAAGGCGATGTTCAATCAGCAATTAGATACAGATTTTATTTCTTAACTCTGCTTGGTTTCTTAAAAGCAAACTTACACATACTTCCAACTATGTATTCATTATTAGTTAGTACTTTTTCATTTGTTTAGTATTTTGTTATGCACTCACCCCTCAATCCATGAATCAATACTTCAAAAACTCGTTCAATTTGCATGGTTGCATTATGAGTACCATAGAGAATTGATTTTCCTGAGGATTGACACATAACTTTAGGGAGAGTGTTAATGTCGCCAAACGCTTCGACAGTGTAGACGTTTTACTATAAACACGACATTGAATTCTAGTCAAATCTTATTTCTTAGCAGTTTTAGTAAGTGATGAAAAAATAAAACTCTTAATGAATGCGTGAAGAAAAACGAGACATTTTTGACAACCGAAGAAAACTTTTTGCTTTTAAATAAAAGAAAACCAAACATAAAATAACACATATGTTCACATCATTCTGCTGACAAGAACCCAATTAAACGTTCGGTTTCAATGATTTCCAATATTTTTGTTTAATTATTTCCAATTTTTTTTTAGAAGTAGACAAAATCTACATCGAAGATTAATACACGGTTTCCTAATTGATGTATCTATTACAACTAAACGAATTGGTTTTTTTTTCTTATCCCTCTAAAATTTCGTTTAAATATTAAAACTATCACTATCTTCCAACTAAAAGAGAAACTTGTGCTTTCTAGACTATAATAGTTTAAGCCTTGGCCGGCGTGGATTCGTTCCAGGTCCGTGGAGGACTGAACTGTCCCACCCGTTGGTGTTCGTCCACGGCCCGCACGGCAAAGTGATAGCGCTGGCCTTCCTGGAACTGAGTCAGCGTGACGGCCATCGGCAAGAGCATGGCCTTGACGTCACCAACGTGCCGCCACATGTCCATCGAGGGCGGTGCATTCGTCTCCTGATAGGCGTATATCTGGTAGCTTACGATCGACGCATGTGCTTCCGATAGGTCGTCCATGGTCCAGGAAATTACGATACCGGTTTCGATATTATTGATCCGGATGGACGGACGCGGAGGAGTTTGCTTCCATGAGGGATTCAGCAGTTGGCTTCCGGGCTGGGGAAGTGGGGCAGGATGCGTGAAACTGGCGGCAGGTTGTTGGCGAATTGGAGGACGAGTTATCATGTTGCGGGTGTTGCCTGGGTGGGAAAAGGAAAGAATAGATAAGTTTCCGCATTCTGATCATCAGTACACATTGTTTGTCTGTCATTGTCTATCTTTTGCTGCCGCTAAAAACCTCAAACTCTGAATCTCCCTGCCTATTTCTCTATGCTGTGCCTGTCTACTTTTCTGTATTCTGAATTCCTATGCATGCATGTTGCTTTCGTTTGTCTATTTGATCACAGCCTGCCTTTTGGTCTGCCTCTGCTTATTTGTACATTAAATGCAAATTTTGTCAGCCCATATTTTTTCCCCTTTTACAGTACATCTCTGGATCAACAATAGAAAAGGGCCCATCAGCATTTGTAAACAAACCGTTCAAAAGCCCTTTACTCACAAAGCGAAGGCCACCCACACAAACCAACACCATCATCGGATAGGGGAAACTTCTACCTACACGATGATGGTGTTGGTTTGTGTGAGCGGCCTTCGATTTGTGAGAAATGGGCTTTGGAACGGTTTGTTTACAAATGCTGATGGGCCCTTTTCTATTGTTGATCCAGATCTATTTATTCGTTTGTTCTTCTGTATGTCCGTGTAAGTACGGTTATTTGTGTTCACCTGACTGTCCGTCTATATGTCCATCATAATCTATTTGTGGACCGACGGACCTATGACTTTACCTACCTATCTTTCTGACTATATGTCTGTAAAGAACGATCTGTTTGTCTACACTGTTTTTCTGTTGTTCTACTTCTGTCTATCTCTATACGTTTGTCCATCTGTCCTCTTCTGTCTGTCAGTCGTCGTCTATCTGTCGGTAAGTATTTATCTGTCTGTTTATCTACCTGCCTATCTTCCTCTTTCAGTATTTCTATTTCTGCCCACTATGTCTATCTGTATGTAGGACTGTCTGTTTGTCTACAGATCAGTTTTGATTCCGAAAATCCGAAAGCACATTAATTGAACCTACCTAACTGACCGTTGATCATCCGCGCTCGATAGGTCTGCGCCCGGGGGAACCCATTGGTAGCATTTGTCGGTCGCTGCATTAGCACAGGCCGCGGCGGTGTTCCATTCACCATTCCGGCGGGTCGCTGCTGAAGCGCTGGCCGAGTCATCATTCGCTGCTGATTGATGACAACCAACGGTGGCATTCCGGGTTGCCGTTGGGTGGTGAACTGCTGTTGTTGTTGGTGGTGCTGCTGCTGTTGGCCGTTCAGTATTGTAATCGGAGGTTTGGGTACCACCGTAGTTGCAGCTGGTGGTGCTGCCGAAGTGGCTGCCGGTTTCGGTGCGTCATCTTCATCGGTAAGATCGATCAGCGAGTTGTCTACGGCAGCAGGTGCCGCAGTAGTCGTTGGGGTAGACGGAGCTGAACGCGCCTGAGCTGCCGCAGGGGATGATACCATCGAGGGGGTCTGGCGATTGATGATTACGTTCGTTGAAGCGGGTTTCGCTTGAGGTTGAGGTGTAACTTTCTTCACTACCATCGTCGATACGCGACTGGCGGGACCGGGAGTTCCCACGGGAGACGAAGCGGGTTCTGGAGTTCGAGTCCTGTAAACATAGCAATAGACGGTCAGAGCAAAACAATATAAAACGATAAAAAATATACTCACAATGGCGATCCCTGAGGTGACTGCGCCAGCGGACTTTGTCCTCCGGTGTTACTCGTTTGAACGTCTTGAATCTGCTGCCTCATTAGCTGTTCCTGCATTTGACGGGTCTGCTGTTGCTGCTGTACCTGCTGGGTGATGGATAGCGGTGGCCGCATGGGAGTATACTTCTGAAGTGGCTTTTTCCTGGTCAATGAAGGAGCTGTGCCTGCGACCGTCGGTTGAGATTGAGATGCGCTTAAAATTGTTTGTACCTGTTGGGTGCTGTTGATCGGTGTGATTTGTCCTTGAACCGTGGTCGATTTATTGAGTAGGCTATTTTGTGGAGAGCTCAGAGTCTTATTGATGATAGTTGGAGGTCCCGGTCGAGCAGCGGTCGGTTGTTGAGCAGCTGGCTTTTGAGCCATATTTGCCGGAGCAATTCGACTGAAAGTAGGTCGTCGATTTTGTACGCTCTGTGGAGAATTCTTGTTTGGAGAACCTCCGATAGGAGTTGCAACTGGTGACCGAATAACAGCACCCTTAGGGCTGGTCGTGGTAGGAGTTGTGCTGTTCCCAGCGGGTCGACAACCGGCCACGAATCGAGGCTGCGAGACCTGAAGTCCCACTGCTCGTGTGATCTTCACCGGAGTAATGAAATGTTGGTTCTTCTTTTCCAGATCCTTCACGACACGCTCGTGAACCATTTCCAAATCCCGAAACTGTTTGTTCAAATCGTGCACCTTTTGACGGTATCCCTGTAGAAGCGTGTCCTGAGCATCCAGCTGAGTTCGCATCTCGGCAATCGCCGATTTGAAAGCTATGCCTTCTACAATCTTCTGAAGCACGAATTCTTCCAAGTTCGATCGATTCATTCTCTCCAATGGCTTCTTGAATTTCTCCAAAAACTCCAACCGAATAGCCTTCTTCTCCTTCGGTGCTACGGGTTCCGGTTCCAGTGTCATTTTCAGCGGCTCTATTAGCTCCAAAGCAGACTTCTTTTCTTCCTTCTTGACATCCTCAACTTCGGTATTGGGTTCCTCTTTTGGTTCCACCATTGGTTCCTCTTTTGGTTCCTCAAGTTTCACTTCCTCCTTCAGTTCAACCGACAGCCGAATCTTTTTGGCAGATTCCGAATCAACCTTCTCCTCGACATCATCATCGGGACACGGTCGCTTTTCAGCTTTCTTTTCGCCTTTGTCTTCTTCTTCTTTCTTATTTTCTGCGATTTCGTCGTCGTCGTCATCTATTAAAAACACCTCGTCTTGCGCAGCCTCCGATAATTTTTGATCCTTCTCTTCTGGCTTCTTATCATCTTCAACAGGTTTCTTAATTTCCGAAACAGCTACTACAGATTGCTCTTCTTCAGGTTGTACTTTATCCTCCGGCTCTTTGTCGTCTTTTTTGGCATCATCCTTTACAAGTTCTTCTTCTTTTTCTGCAGCTATCGGTTCAGGTTTTTCGGAGACTTTGCTTTCCCCTTTCTCTAACTCTTCTTCCGTTTCAACCTTCTTTTCCGCTTCAACATTCTTTTCCCCATCAACCTTATCTTCGGCTTCAACCTTCTTTTCCGCTTCAATCTTTTTTTCCGCTTCAACCTTTTTTTCCACATCTACAGTCTTTTCAACTTCAGCAGAAGTTTCTTCCTGGACTTTTTCCAGTTCGACTGGCTCTTCTTGGGAAATATCCATCTTCTCAGACTCTTTTTCAGTTTGCACGACATTTTCATCCTTTTTTTCTTCATCTGCCACTTTATCATCCTTCTTTTCGGCTACTTCTGTAACCGAAGGGACAACTTCTGAACTTTTCTTCTCCTCTACCTCAATTTTGCTCTTCTCTTCGCCGACACTTTCAACTATCTTCTCGCTTTCCGCCTTTTCCTCACTTACTTCATCCACTTTGGGTGATTTAGTCAGGTCTTTCTCTTTAACCTTCTCTTCAACTTTTTCTTCGATCTCCTTTTCAACCTCTTTTTCAACCTCCTTTTCAACCCCCTTTTCAACATTCTCTTCGATCTTCTCTTCAACCTTCTTTTCCTCAACTTCTTTTTTCTCGCTCTCTTCCTCTTGAGCTTCTCTTACATCGATCGAACATTTCCGCTTCAGAGGTGGTTCTCCGTCAGCCAGCTCTTCTTCCTCAACCTGAATTTCTTCGCCCCCTGTTTCCTCCTGATCTTCCGCGTTCCTACTGCTCTCATCTCCGTCCGCTCCCATGTAGTCCGATCCCTCAAACTCTTCTTCCTCATCACCTTCCACTTGCTTGGTACTCCCGGACTCGCTGCTATTATCGTCCGGGTCTTCTTCCGGTTCCGGTTCATCATCTCCCTCCATTTGTCCTGGTTCCTCCATCATCTCCAGAAGGTCTTCCTCATCTGCAGCTTGCAACGCCTGCCGACAAGTGTGCTGAGCCGTCTCAGTTTCGTCAGACTCTGCTTCAGGATCATCATCTGTTCCCTTCTTCTCTCCATCCTCTGTTTTCTCTTCGGTTTTCTTCTTCTGTGCACCATCTTCCGTCTTCTCTTCGGCATCTACCTTATCTTGTTGTAGTGCTGCCGGAATTTTTGCCTCCACCGGGTTTTCATTTTTCTTAGCAGATTCCACTTGCGGCTTTGTTTCCTCCGGGACAGTTTCACTAGATTCAACGGTTGATTCTTCGACCGATGTCTCCTTCTTCTGTTCTTCGACGACCTCAGCAACACTATCAAACTTTATTAAGTCTGACAATTCGGGCGATGCAGATCTAGATCGTGCCTTTTCCGTTTCCGTTCTATCATCGGGAAACTTGATAAAATCAGACACTTCCGGAACGACATCCTTCTGCTCGGTTACTTCACCATTCGATTCAGACTTAGATACGATTTTCTCCATGTCCGGAAACTTGATCAGATCACTTATGTCAGGTGATAGTGGAGCTTCCTCTTCCGGTATACCTATTTGCTCTTCAGCTGCATTCAGATTGTCTGCGTTAGTGCTCACCATGGCTTCCATTAAGTCGGACACCTTCGGTTCCAAGCTGGCGTCCACCGACTCGTCTACCGTCATATCTGCGATATCAACCGCGGCAGTATTCAGTATACTCAATCCGCTCTCGTCTATCGTGACAGTTCCGTCGGTATCGTCGACAGTATCTCCCGAACTAACCAATACACTATCTTCGATCTGAATGGCCGATTCTCCTTCCTCCATATCTACATCCTCGTCCAGGAGCAAGCTTTCGTCCACTTCCAAATCATCCTCCAGCTCAACATTGTCCTCCTGGAGGAGAATACTTTCACTCTCCTCGTCGGTATCTGCGACTTCCTTTGTCACAGCATCAGCAGCCGTAGCGAGATCTTCATTTACCTCGGTTAAAGTATCGTCTTCCGTTATACTGACAGCACCGTTGGTGTCTTCAGCATCTGCCTGCTCGGCTGCCGTCTGGTTTGATGACTGACCCGACGATGGGGAAATATCGGAACTCTCCTCGCTTTCTAACCGATCTGGGTCCACGTCGATCTCCGACTCGGCCCGTTTCGAATCCTTGTTCAGCTGGATGATGTCCTTGATCAGCGTGTCGGAGAGATTCTGCACCAACTCGGATTCTACACCGGGTTCTTTCTTCGTCGAATCGGGTTGAAGGTCTGCGGAAGAAAAAGGGGATTGGGTCATTTTATAGAAAGTCTAAAATTTAGATTTTAGACAATGTGACAGCTATAACTATAACTATAATTCAGGAATCTGTCAAAAAATATTATTGAAGAAATATAATAAAACCTGCGATATTTTCCGAATAATAGTATTTTTAATCAGCCCCACAGATATTAGGGCATATCTAGTAAGAGAGGTCGTCCTTGGGAAAATTTTCTCGTGCAAAACAAGTATTTTTTCTATCTGATTCATCTTGACCCTTTTAATTTCTGTAGGTATCGAGAAAACTGAAAAGTGCTGCTAGTCACCCCGTTTGACGGTATGTTAAACCTCCACAATCTAACAACCCACCTTCATCGTCGGCATCGTCCAGCTCGCTGTACATTAGCCGTTCCATAGCGTCGTCATCTTCCAGGCCTTTCGCTTCGTTGCTATCATCATCTGCTGCTGCTGCTACCGAGGACACCACCTTGGTGACGTCTGGCAAGCTGTCCTCATTAACCATCGTTGTTCCATTTTGCTGAACGACTTCGTCGGTGACACTTTCCGAGCTTTCCGTACTGTCGACAGTTGGGCTCATTTTCGGCAAACCGTTCTCCTTGAGAGGTTGGTCCACTTCCATCATCTTTACCGGTTTATCACTGAACTACGTCTGGTTCGCGGCAATCAATTCATTTCTGTAAATGTAAGAAGAAAATGTTTCCATTAGTACCTAAACTCGACATAAGTACCTGAATAGGGTAGTTATTTCTAAAGTTTGAGGTAAATTCCGTGAAGTGCCATAATTTCACGCGGGGCCAAAATATTGTAGTGTATTGTGATATTTTCTAAATGTATGTTTCCCATACACTAGTCAATAATACTATATCTACATATTCAGGTCAATTAAAAATATCCACTTTAAGCATTATTATGGGATTTTTCAAAATTGCGAGAAATGATGGTACTTTACGGAACTTATTGTACTCAATTTTGAAGAAACTGGAAGATTGAGGTTATGTAAAACCTGGAAATGCAATTATGAATGCTAACTATTTAAAGAACTTTCGCAACCTACTTAATTTATTACATATTCTATATTGATAAACAAAAACACACATCAACTTCAAGAAGTTTTGCCGAGAAAAGTTCCGAAGAAAATTAGTTTTTGTACGTAGGTGTAGGTATAAGTTAACACAGGTCACTGAACTCGGTATTAAGAACCACAAAATTTACTACGGAATCAATCAAACGGAAGACACTAAACAACACTACGGCTTTATTTCAACACGCAGCAATATATGTTGCAAATAAATAACTAATCTACAATAAATAAGTTTAGAATAGATATAAAAATGTTGATAATTAGAAGACTTTTCCCACTGTCTGCATTGTTTTTGATTAACAGCACGGCGGTCGAAAAACGAAACGACGATGGATGCATGGATGATGGGACGCGATGTCATACACACGCGGGGAAGCTAAATTTTGACAGCTCGTCCGAGTGTGTGCGTGATAACGGAATACTGAAGCACTGTTGTATGTTTTTATTTACACCGGTGCGTGATGGTCGGTCGGGACCTCGGTTGGGACTGTGTGTGTTCATCTGTATGCAGCTGTACATAATAAGATTTCCCACGGTGCGAAAGTAGATTCTCGCAAGATTGTAAGTATACATAGGTGATAAGATGCAAAGACGTTAGTAAATAAAACAGAATGATCAGGTCGGCAAATCTCATTAGGACATGAAGGCGAGAAAAAGAATGTTTTCAAAACCGCAACAAAATGATGTTGCGCGACATGGTCATGTGAAACAAGAGACTGAGCTTTTGAGTTGGGTGGGTGGGTGTGTTTTCCCGATTAGTGTGATTTTTTTCTTGGCATAAGCCACGACACAACCACACATCTCCGTTACCATAAGATCGTTCATTTTTGTGATCCTGAAAACTGTTATTGTTGTGCTAATCTGCTACAATAAATTTGAGCGATTTACATTTCGTCCCAGTTCTACCTATTGCAGCTTCTCACAATATACACGGCGAATGAGAACGACCCAAATTTGCGTTTAGTTCACGTATAATCACCAAAAGTGCAGGAACTCAGTGATGAGTAAGTTTGCCTCATGTTTTCCTTGAAAAAATCTGCCGGAAAATGAGGAAATGGACGAAAGTTTTACTCAGTCAAGGAGCAGTACCAATAGACGATAGATTCCAATCTTTATTTTTCTCATATTTGGGAATTTTTTTTCTAGACAAACCTGGAAAAACCGGACGCCAATTTACTCATCGCTGAGTTCCTGCACTTTGTGATTTGTGAGTTAACTAACTCAAATTTGGGTTGTTCTCATGATTTGCCGTGTACAGCAAACTTTAATTTAAACTACCCAGGAAAGTTCAGTTCATAGAGGTAACTCTAAGACCAGAAGGTCCCGAAGAAACGAGCTCAACTTTTTGGCTCAGCTCTGGTACTATCTTCGGTCCCAAGCTAATCGATGCACCCCTCGAAGCGTAGGAAAATCCACGAACCCCTCATTTTATCTGTCAAACTTTCATAGCGAATCAAAACAAACATAGTGTAGTACTGGAATTTATACTAGAATGGGGTACGTTAATCGAATTGCTTGGGACCAATAGGTTAGTCAAGTAGTGAGCCAATTTAAAATCGTTAGTTTCGTATTGATTGTTGCTACTACTGGTTGTATTAGCATTTTCACCAAATGTACTAGAATGTCTATCTCTTTCACCCTATTAAAAACTGAAATGCATAAAAAAATGACAAAATGATACACTCTTTGCACACTGTCAAAGATCATTGCACACAAAATCAACTTTACTCAAATTAACACAGAAATACTAGCCCATCTGGTGGCTGATTGTACAAGCTTCTAAGAAAATTCTATTACAGCGAACCACATTATTTTAATTGATTTCTTCGCCAGTTAGTCGTCTGTCACTTCGTATGTGCTATTACCAATCTCCGTAGAACCAACAATCAATACGAAACTAACGATTTTAAATTGGCTCACCACTTTAGTAGCCTATTGGTCCCAAGCAAACGATTAACGTACCCTATTCTAGTTGAAATTCTATTACTACACTATGTTTGTTTTGATTCGCTATGAAAGTTTGACAGATAACATCAGGGGTGTGTGGATTCATGCAGAACATGCAGGGATGAGTGAAATAGCTTGGGACTGCTTGGGACCGTTGTTCTGGTACTGAGTGAGCCAAAAATAATAATGATTTTCTTCGGGACCCAGTGGTCTTAGAGTTACCTCTATGGTAGAACCCCGCAACGAACAATGATACGACACCGGACGAATGACGACACTTGACCAACACCAGCTCTCTAAATGACATGACAAACGGAAGAACGACGACGGCAACCCCGCAGGCTACGGACATTGACCCTCTCTGGGAAATTAATCACAACTTCGTTCACTTCCCTTACTCTTACAAAAGTCGACACTGAACACAGACAAACCGGCATTACACTTAATTCTGACTTATGCCTGAAAATCGTAAACGGCTGATTTAAATGTGCAGTGATCCGTACTGTCAAAACCATAGGATTTTTTTTATCTAGATAAAAATAATGTGCCCATAATAGATCAGACACGAACCAACGTTTGCATGCGGTTTCATGACTTAGCTAAATATTTCCCGCGAACACGGAGCCAGATGACAGTAGTGTACTTTGGTCAGAAATTTTATTGTTTTTGCTATGGTCATTCATGTCGGTTTGTCGGTGACTGAGCTCTGATATCCTTGAAGTCTGTAGCAAACACTATGTAATTTTATTTTTTTTTCGGAGACCCCCTCAGGAGTCACTTCCCTACAAAGAGACGAACCAGCTAAGGGCTGATATTATCCTGAAAATTCAATGCCATTGAAATAATCTCTCAAAATTTTAATCAAAACTCGCCTCGGGAATTATTGTACCTGTAGATTATTCTCAGGAATCCTCCTGAATTGATTTCTTTTGAAATTATCCACAAAATACCCTTTCAATTCTATTAATAATTATTTTTGAATTCTCGCCTAAATTATCCTTGAATTATCTATGATTATATTAATTTTCCAAAACTCAACATTTTTGTATTTTTTCCACACCCATCTTTAAAAAAATCCAATTCTTTATTTTTCTAATTGTAAGATCTTGAAATGTATCAATAAATTTCGGAAGAAAAACCATAAACTTATGCTTCTAACAAATTTCTAAGCTTCACAATCTTACTTTAAGTAATCATGTTTGTATTACTTCATGCGTGAAGTTAACGATTTATATAGTTGGAGATGGTTAACATCACTTAAAGTGGTCATTTTATACGATAGATGAGGAGATCAAAGTATAAAGTTGATAGTTCGACTAGACTATCGACTAGATGCTAACGTCACATGACGACTTGTGTGTGAAACAATCGATAGAACTGTTTCCGCACATCGAAGGTATGTACGTGAGCAAATCGGCGATCATCTCTTTTGCCAGTGCACAGTGGTCCAGAATGCAGATTTAGGTGGAATGATATGTTTTGAGCCTGAAATTGGAACTTTAGACTAAAAGTCTCTTCTACAAAGTTGTTCCTTATAGTTAGGTCCTCATTTTTATGACAATGAATTCTAGGGTGGTTCCTATTATCATTAAAATCAAAAATCTAACTTTTTTGTTTGAATAAATTAAGGTATACATTCTTCCGCAAAGTTATAGCTGAGCTAATTTCAAGCAACTTTGTTGAAAATAACTTTTTTGTATCTCTTAAATTGGCCGATTTAGAACTATTTTCTTGAATTGAGTTAGGGTGGCTCTTAAAAAAACAGTTTTTTTGCTCTATTTTTCTTATTTCGAATTTCTCAGCAAAGGTGTCTTCAGATAACTTTTAGATCTTAAGAAGGCGCAAATTTTTGCTGCACAAAGCTTGTCAATATCTTTCGCCGATCAAGAGTTATTGACGTTTTTATACTAGAAATATGCACTTTTCAAATGTTAATATCTCTGTTTGGGGCAAACAAAAAAAAAGTGTTTTTTTGCAGCATTTGAAAGGGCGTATGTTATTCTCAATAATATGAAAAAATTGGAGGTATGTTATTTTTTTAAACTCGTATAAAATCAATTTGAATTTATTCTTTTTTTTTTACTATATTTGAGTATATCTTTTTTGTTAGAAAAGATACGGGCAACAAATCCAGCTATAAAACATTCGTCTTAAAGAGTTTTAAAAGTCTCTAGAAGATGACTTTCATGATAAATTTCAAATAAAAAAGTTATTGGCAAAAGATGGATTTCATAGGACCACTCTAATGACAAATTTGTATAAAATGTGCTAGAACATTTGTTTCAATATTTGGACATTTAGTGTCTTGGAAGAAGTTTTTGTTTTTAAAAATTCCCTTCTTTTGGTGTTTGCAAACGTCAGGGTGGTCCTCAAATTAGGGAATTTTTAAAACTAACTTTTTTGTTTTACAAAATAAAAACATGAATTGTTTGAAAAAGTTGTAGCTAAATTAATTGCAAGCAACTTTGTCGAAGAAATTTTTTTTCTATCTCTTATCGTTCTCATTTTAGAGTATTTTTTCGGAGTTGACTTAGGGTGTTCCTGGAAAAAATAGTTTTTTAGTAATAACTTTTTTATTTAAAATTTATCATGAAAGTTATCTTCTAGAGAATTTTAAAACTCTTTTAGACGAATGTTTTATACCTG